TCCAACTTGTTTCTGTGCAGATTCTGTCACAGCGACCTGCTTCAGTGTGACCTACGCTAAAGGGAGGATGTGTTCGTATAAACAGACATCACTGAATGAGCCCTGCTCCATCACATATCCCAGAGGTGAAGGTTCTTCATTTACACACATCCCACCACCTCCCCTCTGATCTCTGTAAAGTTATTTATTAACAGTAGATCACTGATTCTGTGTTGAGACTGTGTACAGTTCTACGTAAAGAGAAGCGTCATATTAAAAATGTGTTTATCATCTCCCAACAGGAATACGTGTTCAAATGAGTCCTGCAGATGCAGCAGATCATCTCAGACTGACCTGTAGCACCAGCTGTCCTCTGACTGCCCCTCTGACTTCAATTACGTGGTATAAGAACAGAATAATAGAGGGACGACATGTGGACCAACAGATTGTAGTTACCAGCACTGCTGCAGCCAACGCCGGCTTCTCTTGTGTTATAAAAGGTTTTGAGGATCTTCACTCTGCTGACGTCTGTGAGTATGAACCAACTCATTGTCAGTTAACTCATGAAACCAGACATTTATGTTAATGGTCTGCAAATGACAATTAGATTTAATTTTAGTGTTATTTGGTGAGAAAAGAATGTGTAAGGCAAACATGCTTGACATTTACAACATTTATGTCTAACACACAGAAATATTTGTTTCATTGTTATTTAAAGTAAGTTTAACAATTAATTTCAGTTGTTTTTATGTATGTTTCAGGTGCTGAGGACAACAACTGCTGGAGTCTGAATTGCTTCAACAGAAGAATCTGTGCTTTGGAGGGATCTTCAGTCAACATCTCAAATGAACTTTCACATCCTGGTACCAAGTCGCTAAAGTCAAAGCTTTGGTATAAAGGAAATATCAACAGTAAGCAGGGACAGCTGGATAGGCGTAATATGGAATATGATGACATGAAGAAACAAAACATCCTCAGATTAAAAAACCTGAAGAGGAACGACTCAGGAGAATATACGTTAAGTATCTGGATAACCAACAGTGAGCTGAAACTGTGTGATAGGACTGGAGTTTCTCTGATGGTCACAGGTAAATATAATATGTTGTTCACTCTTCATGTTGTAGCAGAAATCAGCAGACTGTCCTCTGTAATGTTTAATATTAATGCACACCATGTAAATACTGATGTTTTTCATTGGAAATGTGAAAAGCTGATTTAGTGTTCAGCCAAGAATCTAAACAAGTTGCCAGTATTTCAACATTTATTCTTGTTTCATCACTAAACATGCAGGAGCTAGAAGGGAAGAAGCAGCACACATGTTTTAATGCTACTTGTGCTCATGTAAAGACACCAGGATAAAAGCCAAACGATGATCAAGGTTATTCTGATCAACACAGGGGTCGTGATTATTTATCGTTATTGATTATATTGTTTTTTATTTTACGTTCATATTTAAATAGCTAGAGCACTGCTGTCATGTTCATGTCGTGCTGCCTTCCCGTTAATGTAAAAGACTTTGCATCAAGACAAGACTTAAAATTAGATTCTTCCGCTTCCTGAATTGAGTTCATCTATTCGAGGCCAAATATAAAAGTGTCCTTAAACAATCCTCACTTGCTGAACATCTGCTTATGGATATACAACAGTTTACAAGGCGGCTGTGCTCAGAGACGCCTCTAGTCTCCACTCAGTTACTGCAGCGCAGCAGCTCAGACAGCTGAGAGACCAAAAACTACTTTGAAAAGAGTTAAATGAGTGATTTTATCTTGGCTACATGAGCATTTAATGAGGACCAGAGTTTTCTTTGAGCAAGAAAACTGTTTAGACGTCAGTATTATAGGCGATCATGTTTATTTAATCGTGCAAAGTCAAAATCCTGATTGTGATCAATGTTTGGCTGATTGTGGAGACAGAAAGACAGAGCAACAAACTGGAGACACTGTTTGATCTCCACAAACAGCATCAGGGGGCAAAACTGGAGCTGGTTGAACTCTCATCTATTTAGGTGAAACACAGAAAACTGTACCCATTCTGCCTGAACACAACACGTGTCACAAGTCATGCATGACTCCACCATGTAGTACATATTAATGAATCATTAGCAGCCCCTCAACGCTTCTATCTGCTCAAACTAAACTACACTGAAGGACAGCATTAATCTAACAGTTTAACCACCACAACTCTAATTGAAAACTAGTCATGAAACATCTCTTTTAGGTATTTACTGACCAATCTATGCATCCTCCAGGCCTGACAGTGACCATGACTCCTTCTGCAGAGGTGACAGAAGGTCAGAGAGTCACGCTGACCTGCAGCACCAGCTGTCCTCTGACTGACAACACAAACTACATGTGGTACTTTAACGGTCGACCTCTGAGCCAAAGCAAACACCTGCTTCTGGACCCAGTCAGCGTTCAGCACGCAGGAAACTACTCCTGTGCTGTGAACACCCACGAACACATCACATCGGCTGCAGAGACTCTCACTGTCCAAAGCATCGCAAGAACATGGGTCACAGTGGCTACAGGAATCCGTGCTGCTCTTGTGGTTTTCATACTTGTGACTGCCATCTTGTGTATTGGGTGAGCATCACTCTACTCTGTTTCAGATCAATGGTATTTGTTCATGCATCTACCTGGCATCACTATTTCATCTTCACCTTTTTCACCAACCAGAAAAAAGAGGATTTCCTGCCAGTCTCCTAAAAATGAAACGTTGGACAACATGGAGCAGGTAAAGAAAAGATTTCTTGAGAACATCATCCTCGTCCATCTGGCATCTCTTCAGAAAGAATGATTTCATCAAAAATATGTTGTTCTAAAATTGTAGCTTGATTCTGTCCTGACCTTGTTAAAGATTCCTCTGAGATGTTTCCTCTCCTAAATGATGTTTGTCTTCTGTTGACACAAGAATAAATGGTCCAAAAGTTCCCTGAGTCCTATATTTTTCAGTGTAGGACATACATCTTGTTCTGCAGCAGCTCATGATGGACCAGGCAGTCTGTTGTAGTACATAGGACTCTGCCAGTCATCATGTATTATAACTTTTTTTAACAGCTGGTATTATCAAATTATAGTAACTTACTATCTCACCCTCTCTGAACAGCCTCCTCAGCACCAAGAACAAGAGCAAGTCCCTCTGGCTGTAATCAGCCCGATATCCAACAGCACCGCTGAGTATGTATGTCTGAATTAACAGCTGACGTCCTATTTGAGAAGAATATTGTAAGATTTCTGTAGCTTATTACAAGTTGGGTTGGATGATTGTTATGATGTCTTCTGCAATTTGAAACGGTAACACACTGGATTACAGATTGCTGACTTACTTAAAAGGTTATGTCACATTCAAAATGTACTTATGGACTGTGAACTCTTCTTTAGATGCTTTGTGACAATGTGAAACCTCAGTACATTAATATATTCTCTTCTTTACTTTCAGGCACTCTGACTATGAAGTGGATTTCTAGAAACTCGACGACACAGCAAACAAAATCTTAGAGACAGAATACAACAGCACACCTGTCTGTATAGAACGTGTTCAGTCCTTCACACCTGCATTGCATTCACCTACAGCGATTCTTTAGGAAGTCTCTTCTTGTTTCAAGTCTCAGTTTACATATTGCTTGCTCAGAGGGAATCCAAAGAGAACTTCGGATTGTTGTGTCCTCTGTTTGGAATTAGTGTGAAATATCCACAAGTTTACAGACACTGTATAAAAAGACACATAAGCTTTTTTATTCTCACTTACTGACATTAAATCAGACTAAACTTTTCCTGTTTTAGTTCAGTTAGAATTACCAGAATTATTTCTATTTTCTAAACACCAGAACAATGAGAGAATTCTTTATGACTTTCTTTAAAGTCAGAAGTTTAAATATTCATTTTCTTAGTATTTGGTAGCGTTGCCTTTAAACTGTACGACTTGGGTTAAACGTTTTGGGTTTCTTCCACAAGCTTCTCACAATAGTTTCACAGAGTTCTGGTCCATTCCTCCTGACAGAACTGGTGGAACTGAGTCAGGTTTGTTGGCCACTTTGCTCCACACACCTTTTCAGCTCTGCCCACAAATGTTTGTAGATCAGAGCTTTGTGATGGCCACTCCAAAACATTGACTTTGTTGTCCTGAAGCCTCTCTGTAACTAATCTGACGGTATGCTGAGGGTCATTGTCCATCTGAAGACCCATTTACAGCCAAGCTTTAACTTCCTGGCTGTTGTCTTGAGATGCTGCTTCAATATTTCCACATAATCTTCTCTCCTCATGAGGCCATCTATTCTGTGAAGTGCACCAGTCCTTCCTGCAGCAGAACACCCCCACAGCATGATGCTGCCACCCCCGTGCTTCACAGTTGGGATGGTGTTCTCAGACTTCAAGCTTCCTCCTTTTTCCTCCAAATGTAACGACGGTCATTAAGGTCAAACAATTCAGTTTTACTTTCATCAGACCACAGGACATGTCTCCAGACATGAAGGTCTTTGTCTCTGTGTGCATTTGCAAACTGTAATCTGGCTTTTTATGTTTTTGTTTTGGAGTAATGTCTTCTTCTTCTCTGAGTATCCTTTCAGTCCATGTCGGTACAGGACTGGTTTCACTGTGGATAATGACTCTCTGACCAGCTTCAGCAGCATCTTCACAAGGTCTTTAGCTTTTGTTCTGGGGTTGATTCGGACATTTGAACTAAAACACTTCATCTCAGGGACACAGAACCCGTCTCCTTCCTGAGCGCTATGATGGCTGGA